TTAGTTTTCCCATTTACAGTGTCATACAGAAGTATTGTAGCCTTTCACTTAGCAAAATGCAGTTAAGTCTCATCCATCTTCTGTAAATTGGTACTTCATTCCTTTTTATTGCTAAGTACTATTTCACTGTATAAATGTACTACAGGTTATTCATTTACCCGCTGAAGGACATTTGGTTTATTTCCAGTCTTGGGGTGATAATGAACTTTATAAACATTTTATATAGGGTGTTTTTTTTTAATATATTTTTATTGATTTTGTACAGAGAGGAAGGGAGATAGTTAGAAACATCGATGAGAGAGTCATCGATCAGCTGCCTCTTGCACACCCCCTAATGGGGATATGCCCGCAACCAAGGTACATGTCCTTGACTGGAATCGAACCCAGGACCTTTCAGTCTGCAGGCCGACGCTCTATCCATTGAGCCAAACCAGTTTCGGCTGTATAGGTTTTTGTGTGAACATTCATTTCCATTCTGTAAGGTAATATATGCCTTGGAGTAGGATTGCTGGGTGTTAATAGAAATTTGGTTGGCTTTTGTCCCTGGTTCTTGGGATATAGCCTCTTAGTACTTAGAACTTTCCAAGTGATAGGAGTGTGGATCCTGATGGTTTATGCTAAAGAGATGACTCAGGATGTGGCTGCCATGCCGAAAGACTAACCTTGTGATTAGAGGATTGGGGCTAGGAGTCACATGATGTGAGCCTGAATTGTTCGTCCTTGTGAGTCAGTTGTGGCTACCAAGTGAAAAACCCAGTAAGAACTCGCACACTGAAGCTCTGAATGCGCTTCCTTGTTTGCAATACTCTGCGTTGTCATGTGTTGATGGTTCAGGAGAGTAACATGCCCTGATCACCAGGGAGTTTCACATTGGGACTCCACACCTCACCCTGTTGTGTCTCCTTTCCCCTGGTTCTGATTTGTGTCCTTATAAAACTGGAATTGTAGCAACATATTTCCTGAAAGTTATCAAACCTAGTGGGCAATGGTGGAAACTCCAAAATTTGTAGCCAACTGGTGACCTGGGACTTCCAAACCTGGCATCTGAAGTGAGCAGTCTCGTGGAGGACTTTGCCTTTAACCTCTCAGGTTTGGCCTAACTGCAGGTATTTGGTGACAGAAGTCATTTCACTGAGTCATGTGATTTAGAAGAAACTGCCATTTTGCATGCCCACCAACATAATGAGGGTACTAGTATCATCCCATGAACACTTGGTCCTGTCATTATTTTTGAGTTATTCTAGTAAGTATGTAGTGATACTTGTTAGCTAATATTTTTCTGAGGATTTTTTATATTCACGAGGGATTGTTAATTGGTCTGTAGTTCTGTTTTCATCTAATTTGGTATCAGATTAATGCTGTCCTAATAAACTGAATCGTCTTTTCTGAAAGAATGTATAGAATTGGTGTTACCCTTAATCAGAATTTGCCAGTGAAACCATTTGGAAAGTGTTGTGTTCTCCCCACCCTGTAGGTAACCTGCTTAGTGTTCTGAGCTTCTTGGATCTATCATTTGGTATCTATCATTAGTTTTGGAAAATTTTCAGCCATTATTTTTTCTGCCCATTATCTTTCTCTTCTAGGATCCTAATTATGCATATGTTAAATTGATATTGTCCCACAGCTCTTACGTGTTCTTCTATGGCAGTGGCTCTCAGCCTTTTTAATGCCGTGACCCTTTAATACAGTTCCTTATGTTGTGGCCACCCCCAGCCATAAAATTATTTTCGCTGCTATTTCATAACTGTAATTTTTGCTACTGTTAATGAATCGTAATGTAAATATCTGTGTTTTCCGATGGGGTTGAGAACCGCCTAAGCCCATCGGAAAACACAGATATTTACATTACGATTCATAAAGTAGCAAAATTACAGTTATGAAGTAGCAATGAAAATAATTTTATGGTTGGGGGTCGCCACAACATGAGGAACTGTATTAAAGGGTCATGGCATTAAAAAGGTTGAGAATCATTGTTCTATGGGTTTGTTAGTTCACAAAACATCTCTTTCCAAAAGAAACAAGTAAATAGTATGTTAGATTTTTTTCAAGTATAAATACTATTTACTCTCACAATATTCCTTTTCTTTTATTCCCAGCTTTAGCAAACTTCAAATATGATTTTCAGACCTTTGTTGTTTTAATTCTTGCTCTCTTTCATTTCCATTTCCATATAAAATCATACTAAGTGCTGCTCTCTTTCATTTCCATATAAAATCATACTAAGTGCTGCTCTCTTTCATTTCCATATAAAATCATACTAAGTGCTGAATGAATTTAGGGAATTAGGGGTTTAAGTGCTTTCTGGACTTAGTGGTGGGAAGAGTGAACAGTGCAGTTTATTAGGTTTACTTGTTTTGCATGTTTAATTCCATTCACTTAGATGCAGATGTCTTGCTTTATTAACTTCACTTCCACCCCCAACCTTTGTCTCTATCTCCTATTAACTCTCTTAACAGCAAACTTCCAGACAGAATTTCAAATGCAACTCACCTGATTATTTTCCTTTCTTTGCAATTTAAAACAAAAAGGAAAGAATAGAGTGAAAGGGAAAAACTGGTTGGATGCAGTTTAAAGAATAAAGTAGTTGGTAGATTTGAGGAGTTAACACTTAGCCTTTGGCAGGTCCTATTCTTCATCTATTTGAGGATACTAACCCCTCTATTTCTCCCAACCCCACCTCCCCACTTACACTTACAGGGAAAACATGTAGAAGATAAAATATATCTCATGTATTTTCAGGGAAGGAAATAACAGAGCAACCCTAGCAACTTTTTAAAACAATATTTCTGCTTTAAAGTTTAAGAAAACTATCACCTCAAGATTTTAATTTGTTTTGAGGGAATCAAGCTAAATTTCAGCACTAAGTATATTTCCTTTGAATAAAAAGACAAATGACTAGTGATTTTAAATTGCTAGGTTTTATTAAGATATTGGCAAAATTTCAACATACTTCTCACCTGAATGAACAGTTTTAATGAAATATGAAGGATCACTGGTGATTGCAACTGAACTCAAGAGTGAGATGGAGAGCAGGTTCTTAAGTTGATAAGTTTACTTGGAAAGAAATGATTTACTTCATTCACTTCACTCCATAGAGAATTTCTTTGCAGAGAAATGTCATGAACAAGAGGACAAAGCCTGTCTCTCACCAAAGAGCACCTAGAGGAGGTTACTGATGATACATCTGTGGGCTATCTAACACATCAAAGTTTATTAGAGTTGTTCCTTTTCCAGAACAACTGTTACGTCCGTCTGGTGTTCCCTATCTTCATACTTTCTAAATAGTACAATAAATAATCTTCAAAATAGAAGATAAAATGCTGCTAGAGGAAGTAATTTTCAACACAGTACCATTTGTCTGGAAAATAGTCGTGTTATAACACTGGCGGTATCTTGTTTTAAAAAAAAATCTAAGCTATTCACAGGTCGGAACATAAGAGTTGGTGGGTATCTATTACCTTTTATGGCCTTGCTTAGGTGAGAATGACCACTGAGGGAACACATTATGTTTAAACATCAAAATAATTATTTAGATCACTTTCTTACAAAGCCTTGGTCAGCTTCTGATGGGGAAGGAAGTGCTTAAACCACAGCAGTTTATCTGTAAACACTGAACTTTCTGCATCGTTTTCATCTGCCCATTAGAACACAAATTTGGCTTAGTACTCCAAAATGGAGTGTGATTATCAGGGAGATACAGCATGACACCATACCACCATGTGGGCACTATACCACTATAATGTGGTCAGGCTCAATATTGACATTGATGTTGCTGACACTGTCCTTGGAAAAGGTGTTACTTTTAAGATCCTCAAAAATAAAACAGTAACTTTAATTTTATTAATTCAAGGACAATGGATGGCATTTCTAGGTAAAGTAAAAATATATACATGTGTATTTCCACCATCCTCTTTAGTCGAGACCTAACTGGTACTGAGAGCCCCCGTGTTTGATGTGATAATGCTGCTTAATATCAGCTCGCTCTCAATAGAAATCCAGAAAGTGAACAAATTAGGGTGATTTCCTTTGAAACTCACAGTGAATATACAAGGTGTTTATAATCACTTTAGTTGGTGACTTGAAGTCTGTTTTCCTAACCAATACTATACTTTCTTGTTTACACTGTTTTACTATTTCCTATTCTAACAAAACTTTAGCAGGCAAACAAATTGATGCAGATCATGTTAAATTCAAAAAGGGATACTGCCACTCTTAAAGACTGTAGAACTTTCACCACCACTAAATTACACAGTGAGTAAAAGTACAAAACACATAGTTCACAGACTATACCTCAGCATTAACAGTTAATATATATTATATAGATACTTTTATATCTATCTAGTATTTTTATAATCACCAGATACACCATCTTAAAGTACAAGTTACAGAAATGTGTAAAAACCATTAGTTAGAGAATACTTATTGCTCACATCAGCAAGCAGCAAATAAGGGCACTGGATTTGAACTGAAGGGAACTACTTTCTATCGCCAGTGGCATTAAGATATAACACTGCACTTCACAAAGCACTGCTTCTATCTGGTTTATAGAACCAAGAGCAGAATAGATCAGACCAATAACCACTACTTTAATATGTATTATAGAATTTTAAAGGACTTACCTTACAAATGGTACCTAACTACTCTATAAATATGGATGTGGACAAATGAAAATTTCCTATTTTTTACAATACTGTTTCATAACTTGATCATACTAGAACTACTTTGCTTTATTTTCTAGAGGGCTATGGTATGAAAATGGAGTTAACACTGCTTATGTAGTCAAGTCTACAAGATCCAGACCCCTGAAGATGTGGTCTGTGTTGATCCCAATTTCATCCAACCATTTTCCCCCACTGAAAAAAACTATCACTTGTACCTTCTTTCCTCTCACCATCTTTATTCTGATCAAAAACTTTAGTTCTAGAAAAATCTTAATTTTTTTTTCATTTAGCTAAATGCTGGACTATAATATATTCTGCTGCCTCTGTTTCCTTACCTCCTTGGATTCGAAACTGATACTGCACCTGATGGGTTGTTAACAAGATCTAGGCTTGAGAAAATGAAAGATGTGAGGTCCATTTGGGGGGGGGAGGGGGCGGGTAAAATATCAGGCTGGTGAGATTCTGGTCACAAGCCTCGAGAAAAGACTTACTTCAAACCAAGAGAAAACAAATACTGAAAATGTCTAATTACATTCAATTTTTTAAAATAAAATATGTGAACTAATGATGTGATCATCACTAAAGTGAAGCTGTTTTAACCCAAAGTATCTGTTTTTTAAAATCCAGGGGTTTTACTCCTCCCTTATGGATCTGGAGAACATAAAGTAACTGTATTATGTACAAACATAGTTAGGCATTGGACGTTCCTCAGCAAGAGCACCCATTATCTGATAGAATGAGTGATGAGCACTATAGCAGGTACCTCCTGTCCATTGACTTGTCTGGTCCACAGTTGACTAGGGGAGGGTAACATGTCATGTGGAGACATTCATGATTCTCAGAATCAGACTGCTTCATTGAATGAATCTGATAATTATTCTATTTGCTGTCTTTAGTTGAGGATGTGCTTCTGACTTGAAACTGCAGAAATGGCAAAAAGCAGACAATTGTAAAATATAAAAATGAATATTGAAATGAGAAGTACACATTCTCTCTCTGCATGAAGTACTCTTCATTTCTAACTAAGCAGACCTTGGTCTCAGTATTCTGTCCTCTCTCTTGTCCTTGGCCTCCAGGCTCGCTTTAAGCAGCACTTTCAACCTCTCTCACACCAATTCATTCCCTTGGGGGAAATAGTTTTAGAAAAGTTAAAACTTTTATTTTTGTTAATCCTCACCTGAGGATATTTATTGAGTTTTAGAGAGAGTAGAAGGGAGTGGAAGAGAGAGAAACATCAGTTGGTTGCCTTCCACACGCCCCCAACCAGGGCCAGGGACCAAGCCTGCAACTGAGGTACATGCCCTTGACTGGAATCAAATCTGGGACCCTTCAGTCTGCAGGCCAACGCTCTAGCCACTGAACCAAACCAGCTAGGATACCACTTATTTTATAGTGGTATATGGCTTTTGCTGTCTTTGACCTTTTAAAAAAATGGGGGGAGAGAAAAAATAGAAATGTTATTCTATTTTCTTTTCAAATGTACTTGACATCTCCATTAAACCAGTGTTATTCCTGAGATGCAGGTACAATGAAAAATATGTTAGCATCATAGGTTGAAACCAGTTGACAGTGGTCTTCTAGTATGACAAATAATAAAAATTCCACTAAAAGCACCATAACAAGTTATGAAACTCCCAAATAGCTACAGCCTTAGGAAATAATTTAAAAAGCTGTCCTTTATGTTACAGAAAAGAGGGAGGGGGGGGAGAGGAAAAAAGAAATCTTTATGGTGCCTCACAAGTCTGAAAATATGACATTTTTACACTAGGTTTCTACTTTCGTTGTTACCGGTTAAAACCCATATGGCTTATAGTATTTTATTTACCAAAAAAGTGGGCAAGGAAGGGTTTTCCTCATAGTCCCGAGTCTTTTGAGGAACAGTCCTCAACTAAATCAATTCTACATTAAGTTTTCCAAAGATATATTAGGTATATCAGACCAGATTTCAACTGCATTATTTCAACACTATATCCTGACAAAAATAAGTACCTTGCAAGCTTCCACTAATGGTGTGAAGAGGCATTGGGGTGGGGTTGTATGGAGATATGGAGATACATTACAGGGATCAGTTGTATAATTTTGCTAATGAAACTGCCAAAAAACTTTGATTGAGATCACTATTTTGAGTTTCCTAGAGATTTACTTTTAAGAATTGAGCCATCCATGATTTCATAATGAGCACACACATTTCAGAAATGTCTACCTTGTTTCTGCTCTGATAGTGGTTTTATGGGGGGAGAGCTAACCAGCCTATCCTAAGGAAAAAGCATTATATTTTACAGCTCCAGGGAAGATCTGGGTATGGAATATCATTACTCTTCCTGAGCTGCTTCGTGTTTTCATTATACTCTTCCCAACTATTTTGCCTCAATGGTAGAGAACTTCTTAACATCCTATTTCTTTTCCCACGTGAAGTAAGTGAAAATAGGCTTGTGCCTACTTTGTGGGAAGGCTCTTGAGCAGAGAGGAATGAATTAAACTTTGGATTAAACCTGAATCCATGCCGCCTCTTTAAGTAGTGATAGCGTAAATGAGATAATCTAGAAACTCTATTTCCCAGGAATTTTAACTGTTCATTTTCCAACATAGAACAGACAGGAGACGAACTCTCCATTCTGTATATCTGCTGCCCTGTTACACCCAAATTAAAGGAAGAGGGAAACGCTCCAGCACCACTCCATTCATACAATGATGATTGAACTGATTCTTTCTCCATTATTAGCTCATTAATAAGATTTGCTTTCTTTGGTGCACCAGGACCAAGCATCTCAACTGGTGGCAAAAATTGAGCAGTGTGAGGTTTGCTTGCTTCTACTTGTGTGAGATCTAGGTAGCCTGGGTCTTCTAGCACGTTGATTTGGGACCCTGGGCTCAGGCTAGTTCTGTCAGTGAATGAATCCACACGCCCATCATAACCTAGATCGGCTGGTGCTGAGCATTGGTGCTGAGGCCAAGGGCGTTTGCACTCTCCATGATTTTCCTTATCATCCCCACCATCTTCTTGCCCTCCTTGAAAAGAGTTCTCTGTCCAGTCTGATTCCTCACTAACATTTTCAGCTTTGTTTATATCCTTCAGGAAAACCACAATAACTGTGATGTTATCACTTGACCCAGCATCACGAGCTGACGCCACTAATTTGTGGGCAACCATGCTGCTGTCTCCATTATTCTCCTTCAAGTGGTCAGATACAACTTTCACTGCCTCATCAGGGTTCACGGTGTCATAGAAGCCATCGCAGGCCAGAATGAGGTAGTCTTCAGTTCCATCCAACACAGTAGAGGCAGAATCTGCTTCCCCACAGATATATGGCTTATGTTCAGCATCTCCTGTGGAAATTAGAACATAGGTCAGATTTTGCTTTACTTTGCTTATAAGAATGTGCATGGCCAATGCTATGACTCTGACCACATTCTGCAATTATGATCTGAATTTACTGGAAAGAATTTATAAATAGTTTTAGAGAATACTTGAATTCTCTGATAATCAGATGCTGCTTATGCCTCACTTTCAGTTGTATAATTGTCATTAACGGGGCTTAATTTCTTATCTAGCTTAGACTCTGAATTTTATGCCCTAGCTATGACTTAGGCTTAGCTGAGCATGGCAACAAATGTCATATCTAAATTTGTTGCTGTACTGGAAACTTCAGTCCTGCATAGGAAAACCTTGTGCATTTAGTAGATCTTTTACTGGTTGTTAACTTTGATCCAATTGAGATTTGAGAACAGATCTACATTGAAAAACAAACCAAAGTTCTGATCATTTATTTTTATTAAACACTTAATTCTTATATCCTTGTTTAGAAATTAAGTTTCATGCTGTGAAAAAGGAAGGCTTGAATTACAAGGGATTTTTAAAAATCAAGTCTAACTCCCACAAGCCAGGAAGTCTTCCCAAGCCTCAGACAAGTGAATTAGAATGTTAGTCTCGATTTCCAGTCCAATTTGCTTTCTATGTTTTTAAATTTTGCTGTGTTTATTACTTCTAGAAAATAGTCAGAATGTGTATGATTATTTTTTTCATCTTTAGGAACTACCATATTCTTGCTTTTTTCTTCAAATTGTTTCTGATCATCCCCTTCTGTCTTTATTACTCATCCTTCACCTGTGAACAACTATAAGAACCCCCAAAACCCTATTTGCCCAGCTCATCCACTTACAGAATGACATTATAGCTGGGCCTTGAAGAAGTTATCACCGGGCAGAGAAGGGTCCTGGGTTGAATGAACAGAATTGTGAAGACAGGGAACTGTTAGGGACTAATACCTATTTGAATATAGGGTGCTGGGAGTAGAGACAGACTGGAGACCTTGGGCCCACACACTGAGGTTGGTTTCCATCACAGACTATTAAGACAAGCCATCATCTATAGTGCAGTTTGGAACTTCTGGATCCAGAGCACTTCCAAATGCATTGTTTTCCTTAGGGATTTGGAGAGAACTAGCAAAAAGGGTCCTTACCCTATCGGGTAACCTAATAGATTATTTCTTACAACAAGGGACACTTATTTCTTAACATAAGAAACAATCAAACAGTATTAAGCAGTAATTCTTAGATTAGGATATCATAATTCATCAATAAATAATACTTTTTAAAAATTTACAAAGTGCTTTTATCATTTGTAAAGCAGTGACAGGCAGCTTAGTGGTTTAAGGAGGCCAGCATGAGTCACCACTGCCTAGGTCCAAATCCTAGCACTTGTTAAAAGCCCCCATCAATTATTAGCCTTTCCATTGTACTAAAACTGGACATTTTGAGTAGGGGAAGATAAAGATAAATATACTTAAGTTATCTGGTTACATTGTCACTGTTTCTGGTATTTGATATAGGTTTCCCCCAACATTTCACATTCCTTTTTAATCCTCAAGTAGACCCAGAAAGCTGAATAGGAACCCTATGGAGAACTTGGCTAGCACCAACAGTGGGCCACATGCCCCACCCAGCATTTTGAAAGGGATACCCTAAAAAACAAATACTGAATATATTTACCTGCATTAGTTTATCTACAAGGTAAGAAACTATCTTTTTCATACAGTAGCCAGAACCATCTTCCTCAAGCATGGTTTTGATTTGATTTCACTTCTATAATATGATGCCTTTCAATTAGCTAGTTTGGAAATGCTAGTTAAAACTTCCAATCATGGGGTTGTGTCCTCCACAAATCTACTTCACAAAGTTCCCCCTCTGCTACTTCACCTCACTGTATTGTTATCATCATTATTATTTTCTGAATTCCAGCTCTAAAAATAAATGTGATCTGAGTCATGCTGTTCCCAAAAATCTTGTTTTAGTGTGTCAAGTAAAAGGCTACTGCAACTGTTAGTTTAGAACAGAACAGAACAAAGATTTGCAAAAGCAATGTTGCCAGAATTCTGGCTTTTCACCTGCTCTACACTGTAGAGCAGGTGAAAAGCCAGAATGGATGTCAAATTCATGACATTTCGCCCCCAAATTTGGTAGGAGGGCATGATTTATCCATTTCATGGTAGAAATGGCAACATCCTTTTGTTGAAGACATCCTCTCTCCATATGCTAGGAAACACCATGCTTTAGTCAACTTTGCATCATACATCTGAAAGGGCTTTAAAGCTTTTAATTTTCAAAGCCTGAAGAGTCATTTTTTCCTAAATAGAGTTGAACTCTGCTTAGGAATCCTTTTTCTTGTCCCCATTTAGCCCTCTATTTTATGCCATGAGTTTTCTAAATCTCTCATTTTTCAACTCCCTCTTCCAATTAAACTACTGGATTTAGGCAGATTAGGTTTATCAATCCTGAATTTCCTCAATTCCTCTCCACCATTTCTTTTCTCACTCTCCTGTTCAATTTCTCTTCTACTTGTTCTCTTCCTTAATTGTATAAACAGGGTCTGATCTAAAATCTAAAATCTAAAAAAAACAAAACAAAAAAAACACAATGAAAGCA